TATTTCAGCCAAATGCCCTCCGACCTCTGACAACAGCTCTGAGCTCTATGAGAAGCTGAACCCTGCGCCTAAATGCTGAAGTCAGCGCCCTGCACACAGTGAGTTGCTTCATACGGGACATGAACTATTCACAGCTGCTGTTAAACTATGAGCAGAAGAAGCTCCTGTGATTGGTTCTTTATCCGCTGTAGAAGCTCTGGGACACGTTGTCGCTGTAAAGAACATCTTTGACTTCTTCCACAACAAAGGTGAAGCTGCTTCATTTGATGTGAAGTGAGATTATGAAGAGAAAGACACAGATGAGTTCAGAAAGCTTCACATCAGCAGCTCACATAAAGTCTCAAATATCAACCTTTACAAACACACTGACACCGATTTATCAGAGGAAAATAAGCAGTTATGACTTCATAAGCATGATGGTTAAATATTACAAAAGGTAATACTTATATGAGTGAGTCATGAATATTTGATGTCTCAATGATTCTGTAAATATGAGGCTTTGTTTTAAACATTTGTGGTAAATGATTTAGTTTTCTCTTTGATGTGTTTGTTTTCTTTTTGTCTCTTCAGGTTTATGGATAAATATTTCACTGGATCAAGAAGTGGTGCCTCCACACTCTCCTCCATAAACTGTGAACTCATCACTTATTCATCATTCATATCATAAAGTGGTTGAATCTAGCTGTAGATGCTCATCGATTGGAACACAAAGAAAACTAGGAGCAAACATCAGTGGTGACGTTAAATGATTTGGATCGTTTAGTTTCAACTTAACAAAATGTAATTTCCTCTGATGAGATTAAATCAAATGAGGAAGATTATTGTTGGAGATCTTAGAACAATGAAAGCATCACAGCACTCTGCACACACAAAGATTTGTGTTCATCTAAAACAAATCCTCCATATTTACACTTTAATGCTTCTGCTGTTGGGTTTCTGGTTCAATCAATATTGGTAACACAAATGTAAGTTCACACACACACACACACACACACACACACACACACACACACACACAC